CCTTCACAAAATGGGAATTAAGTGGGAATTCAGGGAGGGGAGGAAAAGTTTTTTGACAGGAAAAACCCGATGTGGACAAGAGTTCCACCACAATTTAAAATTCAGATTATGAACAGCAGCACAATGTGAGGTTTATGCTCAAATAACTCTGCCACAATTCCATTTCCAGCTCCATTTTTGGGGGGATTGATCCTCACTTCCTAAATCATTCCAGGGATTTAGAATTCTGCTAAAATTCCATTTCCAGCTCCAATTTTCAGAGGGATTATTCCTCATTCCTTAAACCATTCCAGGGTTTTATAACTGTCAAGATTCCATTTCCATCTCCATTTTTTGGGGGATTCATCCTCACTTCCTAAACCATTCCAGGGTTTTATAATTCTGCTAAAATTCCATTTCCAGCTCCATTTTTCGTTTTGAGATTCCCCATTAACTGGGAGATTATTGATCACTTCCTAAACCATTCCATGACTTTATAACTCTCCTACAATTCCATTTCCATCTCCATTTTTTGGGGGATTATTCCTCATTTCCTGAACCATTCCATGATTTTATAACTCTCCTACAATTCCATTTCCAGCTCCATTTTTTGGGGGGATTACCACTCACATCCTAAACCATTCCATGCCCATTTCTATCTCCATTTTTTTTTGAGATTCCCACCTACCTGAGGGATTATTCCTCACTTTCTAAACCATTCCACGATTTTAACACTCTGCCACAATTCCATCTCCATCTCCATTTTTTGGGGATTATCGCTCACATCCTAAACCATTCCATGCCCATTTCCATCTCCATTTTTCAGAGGGATTATTCCTCACTTCTTGAACCATTCCATGATTTTAACACTGCCACAATTCCATTTCCATCTCCATTTTTTAGAGGGATAATTTCTCACATCCTAAACCATTCCATGATTTTATAACTCTGCCACAATTCCATTTCTATCTCCATTTTTTGGGGGATTATCGCTCACATCCTAAACCATTCCATGCTCATTTCCATCTCCATTTTTCAGAGGGATTATTCCTCATTTCTTGAACCATTCCATGACTTTATAACTCTGCCACAGTTCCATCTCCATTTTTTTAGGGATTATCACTCACATCCTAAACCACCTTTACCCCACAAAACCCCCATTTCCCGGATCCCACACCAGGACCAGGCTCACGCCGAGCAGCTGATCTTTGTCAGGAATTTTTCCCTGATTTTTTTTGGGAATTCCCAGTTGCCCTGGGGATGCTCACCACGGTGAGGTTCCTGATTTCCTCCATCACCCGTGGCCAAAGGACTGCAGGCTCTGCTGGGCATCGCTGCTGCCGGCCGTGCCAAAGCCACCGTCCGTGGCCATGCTGNTGTTTTTCCTTTTCCTTCCCTGCTCTCACTTCCCAAAAAATCAGGGAACCAAAAGTTTTCACTCCCTGCTCTGCCCCTTTCACACCCACACCCATGGGAAAAATTCTCAATAATATTCAATATTCAATATTCGAATTTCATTAATATCTAACAGAATAAATTTCAGGATTTGATGATTTCACAGCCCTGGGATCTTTTCCTGTTCTCCTTTTCCTTCCCTCACTTCTCCAAAAATCAGATCAAGAGATTTTTCACACCCACACCCATGGGAACAATTCTCAATAATATTCAATATTCAATATTCAAATTTCAATAAAATTTAACAGAATAAATTCCAGAATTTGATCATTCCACAGCCCTGGGATCTCTTCTTGTTTTCTTTTTTCCTTCCCTCACTTCTCCAAAACTCAACAGAGTTTTCATATCCACACCCATGGGAACAATTCTCAATAATATTCAATATTCAATATCCAAATTTCAATAATATTTAACAGAATAAATTCCAGGATTTGTTCATTCCTCAGCCCTGGGATTTTTTCCTGTTTTCCCTTTTCCCTCCCTGCCCTCAGCTCCATTTCCAGTGACTCCTGAGCTGGCACAGCAATAAATGGATCCCTCTGACAGTTCAAAATTAAGCTGCTCATATTTGATAAAGCTGCATAATAAAATCCTTTCATGTGGAGATGAAATTCCAGCTCCCCAACACAAGAATTCACTGTGCTGAAAGAGCAAAGTAATTAATTCTGCTTATGCATCCAAATTTTCTACATCTGTTTCTTTAATCAACTATCTGCACAGAGAAAAAAAAAAAAAA